CTTCTTTTGTCTCTGTATTGGTTTTATATTTGTTGAAATGAATTTTTTGTTTGTAAAATGGCTCTTTTCTCCTTATATTTCCTTTCCCTCTTCTTATATCCAAATTAGGAAGTTGCTCTTGAGGAGTTGAAGAAAGAACTTCAAGCAAGGCCAACAGAAAAAATGGTTGATGATTTGCACAAGAAAGTGAAAATTTTGCAGGTACTATGATCCTTTCAATGGCTTCTTATTTATATGGGCTAATTACTTTTCATTAGCCTGGGAATTTTAAGAATTTCATGCAACCAAGTTTTCTAAAGTTAAGATGATTCTTACATAGAATTTACCAATTCTGTTAGCTAACTAATTCTCTTACTTTTGATTGTACTATAACTGATGATGCTAACTTCCAATCATATAAGAATTATAAGGAATTCCCTTGGTTGTTGCTTTTGCTAACTTTATTTTTGCTTCAATTTCTTAGACATGAAGCAATATAATTTCTGAAGATTTAAAGTTAAAGCCCTAAATCTTCTTAATAACAAAATGTACTGTTCCACTTTTATATACAAATAACTTCTTAATTTGTAGCCATTAGCTTTTCTTTTCCAATTTAATATGATTTTTGATTTTTTACTCCTCCCTTTAGCCTTACAGAAACTTCTTTGAGCAAGAAGGAAGCAGCCTTCCATCAATACCATATTTGATGTACTCTTTGAAAAGTATATGGCTTTTAGCATGTGGGAATAGTTAATGTTTCTTCTAAGCAACCTTTTTTGTGGTGACTTGTAACCTTTTTAGTATCATGTGGTTAATCTGTTAAAGAGGGTATATAATGCAAATTAAGGATCGATAAGCATGTGGAGGATTAGTCGGTGCTTAGTTTATGCTCAAATTGTTATGTTCTTTTATTTCAATCCAAAGTCTGTTAATCATGTTTTAAACTTTTACATGGAAAATGAAAAAAGAGAACTATTTTGTCCGTGTTGCTCCCAGTTTATTGAAGTTACACATGTTCTATACTGTGACTGACATTATGTTGGTATTTTCTTGTTTCTACATGCTTGATTCTCAATATATCTCTCGTTGTTGCACGAATAGGCAGTGGGTTATAATTCAATTGAGGCTGAAGATTGGGAAGCAGCTACCAGTGGTGAAGAGATGAGTAAAATGGAATCTCTTCTTCTTGATAAAAATAAGAAAATGGAACATGAACTCACACAGATGAAGGTATGAACTGTTTTTTGGTGCTTTGCTTCCTAGGTTTTTTCCCCATTTTTCTCCGATGGTAGTGCATATGAATAGTATTTAGATCGTATAGATGAAACTATACAGAAGTCAGTTTCTTGTGGACAACTGCGGTTATCATACTTGCTGAAAAATCATACTCGCTGAAAATTTTGGAGTTTAGTCAGATTTTAATACTTTTGATGTGGTTTAATAATCATTTACTAGCTGTGTTCATGTATCTTTCACTGGTTTTCAGGTCAAACTTTCTGAGAAAACATCTCTGCTGGAAACAGCTGAAGGAAAAATAGTAGAACTCGCAGAAAAGGTTAATGAACAACAAAAGCTGATACAGAAGTTAGAAGATGATATATTGAAGGTTTGGACTAGTTTCTTCCGATGTTCTGAAAATGCTAGTTTTGACCAGCTTCATTATTTTCTTACAACATTTTCATTTAGATGACTTACTGGCTGCTGCATATATGTGAATTCTCTTACACTGAGATTGAAACTATCAGTTTCTCTATGTTGCTCCTTCCACTTAATGATGTTTGACTCGACGTAAGAGTTCTTAGACTATGCAAGTCCTGCATACTGCAGCCTTTCATTTTCATCTCAATCTGTCTTTCTTTAATGCAGGGTTATAGTTCCAAAGAAAGGAAAGGGACTCTTTTTGATGATTGGGATCTTTCTGAGAGTGGAGGGTATGAAATTTCCGAGGTATAAATTACCAGACTGTGTAACCACTAAAATAGATTTTGATCTGTATCAAAGAAAATAGGAATTTGACTTAACAAATTTGGTCTTTGTATTTTTCCCATGTGTATTGGACTAAGTTTAATTGCTTAAATAGATTTTATTACCAGCTTGAGTTATAGTTACCAGAGAACCTGATCCTCAAAGTGTATGTGGTTTATGGAAGTTTATCAGACTCGTTCTTAATCCTTTGCTTCCTTATTTCATGTCTTTATCTTTTACCTCTATCTCTCTCTGTATATGTGGGGGGGGGGGGGAACGAGGGATAGTTACCGAGATAACGCATCCTCTGTCAAGGTATCAGACTGTCCAATTTTTAACTGAAATTTCAATGCGTGTAAAGTATGTGTCAGCAACACTTGCTGATTTTCTTCAGTTATATGTTAGGAAGAATTTAGTGTCCTATATCCCACATATTCATTGAGAGGCGTTGATTTACCTGTTGAGACTGCAGGGGCATGGAGGTAGTATTGTTGAAAGAATCACGTTTTTGACTAGTGATGTTAAGTTTTAAATTCTTGATATCATGGACCGTAAATACAGGAAATGCTTTTCAAGTGAAATGATTAAATTTTCACAGTGAGTTATGATTTATTCATCCAAATCCTATTGTGGAACAGAATGCAGAACACAAACAAGTTTCCTCAGATCAAGACCAAAGCTCAATGCTGAAGGTGATATGCAACCAGCGTGATCGATTTAGGGCACGATTGCGGGAAACTGAAGAAGTATGGTGTTTACCTTTCTGCACATGTTGCATTATTTTTCATTTTTTATTCAATGGAATTTTTACTATATGCTTATTTTGGTTTATGTAAAATAAATTTTCTGAATGTTCCATATCTTATAGGAAATAAGGCAATTAAAGGAGAAGATAGGGGAGCTAACAACAGAACTGGAGAAAACAAAAGCTGATAATGTTAAACTTTATGGAAAGATTCGCTATGTTCAGGATTATAACCAGGAGAAAGTAATTTCTAGAGGGTCAAAGAAGGTATTTGTTGTTTTAGTACATATCATAATTCTCATCAAGTGCCTATAGTATCTTGAAGCCGAGCTCTTGTTAATTTTTCAGTACGCCGAGGATCTTGAAGGTGGTTTCAGCTCAGATGTTGAATCCAAGTACAAGAAGATATACGAGGATGATATTAATCCCTTTGCAGCTTTCTCCAAAAAGGTTGAGCCCCATTCATGAATATATAGCTCTGTTAGATTTGCAAATATCTAGTGATCTAGTTTGATTTTTCAACTTAGGCCTGCGGAGCTCCTTTTTCTTCTTTCATTACAAATTTACAATATTTTAGTAAAGAAGATTCAGCGGGTGTTCCGCTGGCTGCTTGTTTGTATTTACACGATTTCCATGAACTTAAATTTTCTTGATCACATATCCTCAACAAGTTCATGTCATGTGTTCCATAATACATGCTATTAATAATCAGATGACTTTAGTTTCTTTGGAACAATGCTCAAGTATTCTTTCCCACAAAATATCAGGATAGATTTAAGATAAGATGTTTATAAGAACCCTTCTAGATTGCTATGGGAATTATGTTTATCGGGCAAATATAATGTAGAAGAATCGTTCTTATAAAGCTGATTTTAATTGGGAACAAAGTTGAATAATCCAGTTAGCATTTATATCCAGGGAATCTTTTAATTCTGGTTAATTTCTATTATGCTGTTGTTTGGATATCATGTAATAATCGTTTTTGTTTATTACGTAGGAGAGGGATCAAAGATACAAGGAGTTGGGCTTCCGAGACAGAATCACGCTCAGCAGCGGACGTTTCCTTCTAGGAAATAAGTATGGTTTGTCTCATCTTCTAATTGCATATACAGCGTATTGGAACGAACTCTGGTTCCCTTTATTGTGTGTTCCATTGATTGTATTCACATATGTAAAGGTGGTCATCAGGCTGGTAGATTTGGGGTGTCTAGCATTCTGATCGGGGCTTGGTTTACGCTCAATCTTCTTTCCACTTCAATTTTCTTTTTGGTTTCTTCAGTAGGTTCAACTTTTTTTCACGTTTTATTTTGCAAACCATATGGTAATTGGATTTGGGGTTTGGGTCATTTCAGGCAGGATGATTGTGTAAGGGTCATTGACTTTATTTGAAGCTTAGTTCAGGTTAAATATGGTGAACATGCAGAATTTCTATGTTCATAGATACATGATAGCAATGATTTATTGGCCTGCAGTTATATTACTGCAGTCACTGGTGTATGACGGGGTCTGAAGCGATTCCCTCCTCCACGTATCATTGTATTCGTACTTATTTACTCAGATTGTTCGTTGATTTGCTAATGAAATGACGCCTTTACAATTTCAGGTATGCTCGAACATTTGCATTTTTCTACACGATCGGTTTACATATCCTGGTCTTTACTTGCCTATACCGAATGTCGGCTCTAAGCTACCTCAGGTAATAATCTGCCCTAATCTATATGATAACTCTGTCTGGTTCCCTTTCAAACTATGTGACACTATATGTATGTTTGGTAAATGCAGCCATGGCTCTGAAGAACCCCTCGTGGTCGAAAAAAACCTGAACCTCCCTCATGGACATTAGTGTGGTCTACTACCCTTGCCAGTACTTCATTTTTACTTTGTTATTGTGAGAAGAATATGGCATTGGAATTAATTTTAGGGAAAATTACAAATTTCATCACTAAACTTTACTCTCTCTCCCCTCTTCTGCTCACTGAACTTCAAAAGTTTTCAATTTCCACACCGAATTTAATACATTAGGCCTTTTTGTTAGCTAACGCGTTAAAACGATGCCGTTTTTTAGAAAAAGAAAAATCTTTGTCAAAATGACATCGTTTTACATCTATATAAAAACTCATTCATGACGTCATTAGCGAGAAAACGACTAAGTGATAAAAAAAAATTCGATGTATTAAGTTTAATTAGAAAATTAAAAAAAAATAAAGTACGGTGAGTGAAATAGGGGAGAGAGTAAGTTTAGTTATCAAATCTATAATTTATCTTTAATTTACAAACTTCAATACTGTAGTTCAGGTTAAAATATGGTGAACATGCAGAATTTCTATGTTCATAGATACATGATAGCAATGATTTATTGGCCTGCAGTTATATTACTGCAGTCACTGGTGTATGACGGGGTCTGAAGCGATTCCCTCCTCCACGTATCATTGTATTCGTACTTATTTACTCAGATTGTTCGTTGATTTGCTAATGAAATGACGCCTTTACAATTTCAGGTATGCTCGAACATTTGCATTTTTCTACACGATCGGTTTACATATCCTGGTCTTTACTTGCCTATACCGAATGTCGGCTCTAAGCTACCTCAGGTGATAATCTGCCCTAATCTTTATGATAACTCTGCCTGGTTCCCTTTCAAACTATGTGACACTATATGTATGTTTGGTAAATGCAGCCATGGCTCTGAAGAACCCCTCGTGGTCGAAAAAAACCTGAACCTCCCTCATGGACATTAGTGTGGTCTACTACCCTTGCCAGTACTTCATTTTTACTTTGTTATTGTGAGAAGAATATGGCATTGGAATTAATTTTAGGGAAAATTACAAATTTCATCACTAAACTTTACTCTCTCTCTCCTCTTCTGCTCACTGAACTTCAAAAGTTTTCAATTTCCACACCGAATTTAATACATTAGGCCTTTTTGTTAGCTAACGCGTTAAAACGATGCCGTTTTTTAGAAAAAGAAAAATCTTCGTCAAAATGACATCGTTTTACATCTATATAAAAACTCATTCATAACGTCATTAGCGAGAAAACGACTAAGTGATAAAAAAAATTCGATGTATTAAGTTTAATTAGAAAATTTAAAAAAAAAAAATAAAGTACGGTGAGTGAAATAGGGGAGAGAGTAAGTTTAGTTACCAAATCTATAATTTATCTTTAATTTTACAAACTTCAATACTGTACATGTGTAACACAAGGATGTTTTGTATTATGTTATTTTACAAGATTAATTGCATATTCTAAAAGTGAAAAATGTTGCATGAATTTTTGTAACGTTAAATGAAATGCATATTATGCAATTATAAAAATAAGAAGAGTATCTTGTTAAAATATCATTTAAAATGTTAATTTTATAATTATTTCTATAATATTATAAAATTTTAAACTTCTATAAGACTATTGGGTAAGTTATATTTTAGTCCCTCAAATTGTTCACTTTCCCAATAAATGGTACCCTGAAATTGTTCACTTTCTTTATAAATGGTACTTTACTTTGTTGTCCAGAATGATATTCGAACGTGTGACTTTTTCAAATTAATAAGTGAACTCTATTATGTCCACACCGATATTTTATTTTGTTTATTTTTTATTAAATAATAATATGAAAAAATAGACAAGTTTAAGTATTATTATGGGTTAAAAATATTCAAATATCAAAATGGGAGAAGTGAATAAACTCCGAAGTTAGAGTACAACTTATCCCTAAAATCATAGTTATACCACTTGAACCAACTCCGTTGGTATCTTAAAATGTTGTGCAATCACATATTAATATTGTAGTAGTTCATTAGTCTTAATACGCTTCATCATATATTTATAAAGGGTATATATTCAGGTTATGAGGAAGTTTTTTTTTGTTACCCTTCTGGTTTCAAGATTTTGCCTTGACTAATCTGAATCGATTGGCGTCATATGTCTGGTTTTAGTGGGTGAATCTTTCAACAAGCATTTTCTACGTACATAAAGACTCGAACTTGAAACCTTGCTTAAGCATAATCAAGCTGCTTACCACTTGAACAAACCCTATTTGTAGATTATGAGGAGTTTAATATTCTTTCAATCACACATGGAAAATCTTGCCATTTTAATTTAGGGCATTTTATAAATTTTGCAATTTAGACTTTTTATCTTTTAAAAAAATTCATTATTCTTAAAACTTAGGGTTATTATGACCCATTATTAAGCCCTAGTGGTAGCTTACGTATCCCATTCGTTTAACCCCCACATTTTACTTAGGGTATTTAAATTTCGGCTTTAATCAAATTAATCGATCAAAATTGAAGTTTTTTCGGTTAATTTTATATTCATTCGATTCATGGATAACGTTTTTTAAATTTAGATTATCTGTTAATTAATTAAATTAATTAAAATTGTTAAATATTTAATATATTGTATATATTATTTATATATTACTTAACCTTATAAGTGTTTTTAAACTTGGTTTAACCTAATTAGCTATCAAATTAAACAAAAATGTTTAATATATATTATTTATATATTTTGATTAATTTGATTAACCGAACTTTGTTAGGTTCGGTTAATTTTAAAAAAAATTGATTAATAGTTAAAAGAATTTCAATTAATAAATTTTAAGTAGTTCAGTTCGGTCTGTTAACTAGACCTGCCAATTAAACACCTCTAATTTTAATCACTTAAATATAGGAGTATTCAGTTTGGTTGGTTAACTAAACCGACCGATTAAACACCTTTAATTTTAATCACTTAAATGTAGGAGTATTTTTCGAAATATTCCTCATTCAAAGTTATTTTAGTAAATTTATACTTCTAAAAGTTATTTTAGTCAATTATTATTATTGGGCCTCATATTAGGCTTACCTCTTTATTTATGAATTCATTATCTCTTCTCCTTAATCAAATTAGAGATAAAATTAGGGTTTTTTTTTGGGTAATCAATATAAATACTCAATCCTTATGGTATCGATTTTCTTAGATAATATCAATATTAAATTGACACATTGACATCTGCTTCTAAATCTTAGTATCGATAACCAAAAAAAACAAAATTAATACCTCATGAATAGGTATCGATGTAGTCCATGAACATTTTATTCAGATTTTTACTCTAGTTTCATACAATATCAAAATCATAAGAACGAAATCGATACTGAAAACCAGAAATATCTATTTCAAGCTCAGAAATCACCCCATCACTCTAAGCCCTTAATTTAAGTCCTAAGAAGCAATAATGTGAATGAGTGTCCTAAGAAGTTGAATGAAATAAGATGATAGCAAGTAAAGAAAATGATAAAAGTTTCCAACCATAAAACAAAATTCTTATGACTCAAAGAGGAGATGAAGCATGGAGAAGAGGGAAAACCTAAAACTTGTACTAGCTAGGCACCATGTATCCCTTTTTTATTATTAATATGAGATAAGTACAAGACGGTAAAATTATTCAGAAATTTATGATATTTGTCACAATGATTTGGAACTCGTTATAGGACACAACAAGTTTTATAAAATATTTTTTTTATTAGAACTCATCACTGAATATAATGAGTTCTATAAATGGATTCCATAAAATATAATCTTTTATTAGAACTCGTCACACGGACATAACGAATTTTATAAATGAATTCCATAATATATATATACATATTATTAGAACTCGTCATGTTCACGTAACGATTTCTAACCTATTGTAACAATTTTGAATAAAAAAGATTTTCCTTTTTAAGTTTGAACTTCAAACTTTTTAATAAATTATACTACTGACCATTTAGTTATAAGGAGGTCTATTTTGACCACCGATCTTTTAATTTGTCAATTATACCGTTTAATTATTTAAACGTTAATAATCAAGTCATTTGTCATCGACATTTGACAAAGGAATTGATTTAACGGTTAAAAGTTAGTATATTTACACGATTGATGCAAGTAATATACTAATTATAAATTAGCTCAAAAAATTTAATTATCCAATCAAATAGTGATACATGTCACCTTCTAGTTACAACATATCTATGTGAATTATAGAAACCTTAAACTAATTTTATTGAATTTATTGATGTGTCACTACTTGATCGAATAATTAAATTTATTAAATTAATTTAAAATTAGGGTCAGATTGATTGAATGTGTAAGTAATGAGGATAAATATACAAATATGCTAATTTTTTAACTATCACATCAACTCCTCCATAAAATTTTAAAGGTGTGTAGTATGATTGGTAATATTTAAATAGTTAAATAATTTTATTGACAAATTAAAAGATCGATAGTCAAAACAGAATCTCTCGTAATTAAATACTCATGGGTATAATTTACCTTAAATTCTTAAATTCTTTCATTGAAAATTTATTTATATTTTATCACGGAATAATATTTTTTTGAAAGTTTAATCTCAAAAAAATTGAAAGGAGTCAATCTCAAAATTAAAAGGTTAAATTACACAAATGGTCCCTGACTATAGGCTATTGTTTTATTAAGTTTCTTGACTATTAAAAGTTATAAAATGATCCCCGACTATAGAGAGTTACTTTGTTGAGATGCTCAACTATTAAAAGTTGCAAAATGGTCATATTGATCGTGATATGATAAAATCTAATACTAGAATCTCAAACGACTATCATATCTCAGCATCATGGTAAAGTCCAACTTAAACAACCGCCAAATTTTTAACGAAAAAGAACGAGTTTGGAACATAATAAATAATCGCGTGACCATTTTTAAATTTTTAATAGTCGAGAAACTTAACAAAGCAACATTCTATAATCAAATGACTATTTTATAACTTTTAATAGTCGAAGAACTTAATAAAATAATACCCTATAGTCGAGGAACTATTTGTATACTTTACCAAAATCAAAATACAATATTACATTGTCACAGAATAATACTTTGCACCCCACTTTAGTCCCATGCTAGGCAATACAATCGTAGTTCGTGGAAAGTGTTAGAAACCAAACAAAATCGCCCACTCACGTATCTCTATGACATGTGTAAACAAGTCTAGGGCCATTTCCTTGGTCCAATTTCTTATCCACTTAAACATTTTTTTCTTGGCTCTCGTGTTATTTTTTTTCTCTCAATGTGGTCCTTCAATTCAAAAAATAAACCTAATATGACCATTTGACCAACGTTTTCATCGTTGACCGTTATGGTGATGACATAACAGTCCACGTTGGTTGCTGATATAACAACCCACGTTGGTTGATGACATGGTGGATGACGTGATAGATTAACTAAATTGATAACTCAAACATGACAGATGGACTGCCACATCAGCACCGTGAATTGACACGTCAGTACCGTAACGGTCAATGAAAACGTAGGTCAAAGAGATACATTGAGTTTGTTTTCTGAGTTTGAAGATCACATTAAAATAAGAAGATAATACAAGGGACACATTGTCCTTTTTTTCTAGTAAAGGATCTCTGATGGTCTTTTTGCCTCTCTCTTTTTCAACAGTACCAATTTATGTCCTCAAGATGTCTTTATTAGGGCACGAGTGGACTATAATTTTAGATAGCGGAAGACCACAAAACAAACCACTCCTGTAGAGTTTATGATTTATAGCCTCACATTGTGTCTAAATCCTTCGGCCACCATAACTTGTTTGCTTGGACTTTTCACCTGAATCACCCTCTTCGTATACTTTCATGCATATATAATTGAACCTTCCTTCCTAGTTTAACAAATCCATGATTTTGTTTTAATTCCCATTTTAATTAATAAGTT